GCAAACTGTTGAAGTGCGTTCGGCCCGATATCGGCAAACCATGCGGCGAACCGCTTGGTGAGGAACTCCGAAAACGCCTTGGTGAGGACATTTGTCGGAACTGCAGGCCCAGTCCGAGCCCCAATGGATGCAGCTCCCAAACCAGGCGGCGCAGACGGCCCACCATTGGATGAAGAGGCACTGCTGCCATTGACTTTGGCCGCGAAGTCCGGCCTGTAAGCGGAACTTTTTGGATTCAACCAGCACTTTTGCGCTGTGTGTCCGGGCTTGTGGCAATGTTCACACGGCTTGTCACTGCCTTTCTTGCTCTTGTGCTTGCCCTTGCCTCCCTGAGACTTGCCGCCTGCCGCCGCGGCAGCAGCGGTCTTGGCTGCTGCAGCCTTTTTCTGCGCTTTTCGCCTTTTTATCTCTTCCGAGTGATGTGCAATCAAACCGTTGATGGCATAGATCAAGGCGTCTAAATTTTTTTTCTAAATCCACAGAATTGCTGGCATTGAAAACGGCAAAAGTGGCATCCAGTTCTTTGATGTCTTTGAGTTTGCGCTTCAGAAGCGCAATGCCCCCAGCATTCGTGAGCTTATGCTCGCCGGAACCCATCTGGTGACGAAGCAACGAAAAAGATGCCATGTAGCTGTCAAGCTCCGACAATCCAAAACAACTGAGCTCTTGGATCTTGGTGTTAGCCTCCGTGGCTAAATGCGTTGACTCATGCAAGTGCCGCTGATCAACGATGCGGACAGCCTGACGACCACAACCAAACTGTGCACGTGATTTTATCAGCTTGAGGATCTCCGGTCCTTTCTTGCCCTTCTGACATGCGGCAACCACCGCTGCGAAAACATTCACGTCTGTTTTGTTCATGTTTACGGACAAGTTGACGCCAAATCGCCAAAGGAAACCGCTTCATCATCAAGCTCTCTGATGTAAGCCATGGCTGCCACTGGGTCCGGCGCTACACGCAAGATTTGACTCTTCAACGTGAAGCGCCAGCCCTCATAATCAGAACCAGTCTCTAGCAGATCTTTGATGTAGATGCGTCCTGATGTCGCATCGTCCGTCGCCATGGCACCTACAGCTACGGCTGATAACCCTGTGTTGGTCACAGCTCAATCAAGCACAGCTTTGACGTAGCAAGCATTTTTTCACCCGGTCACTTGAGCCAAGGCATTGCCAAGGCAAGTCTGATGCAATCATATGCAATCACTCTTGATTCACGGATGTCATGACATGTAAGGCATCAAACGTGAGCCAAGTACTTAAACTGCTCACAGGCCCGACTCTAGACTCTAAACGCTGAGCCCGAGTGACAGGGCATTGTTAGGGTTCAGTCGCATTTAGACCAGGTGGCAAAAGGCCAAGCCTTTAACTTTAACTGCCCATGCGGATCACAGGCACTCTGGGCATCTAGGAATCATGATTCCTGAACTTCTGACGTCAGGCTAGTACTCCTAGGTTGGCAAACCGGGAATGGCAGATGTAAACATCAAAACCACGTGTGGGAAAAAACCCTGCGCCGCGGCACCACGCGACTCGATGCATTGACTGAGGCGCGAAACAAGGACAAATGGCCCGAGAATCACTACAAATAAAGCATGGATCCCTCCCCCCCCCCCCGGTTAAGGCATTCTCGGTCGTTCGACCACTTGCTTTTTTTCCACGCCTGTTTTTCACCCGCATGTCAAATGTCCAAGTCCCCGGCAAGCCCCTGGCGGCTAGGCCTCAGGGCCTCGACGCAGCGGCAGCCCACTGGGCGCCGTGTCTGCCGCGTACTGGAGGACCTCAGCTAGCGGCACGTCGCTGTCAGCTGCAGGCAGCGGGGGCATAGTCCAGACGCCAAGGACGGCGCTGCAGGCCGCTCGCTCGACATGGTCGTCTACGGAGCCACAGCCAACGGGGGAGCGCTCTGCTGCGACACCACGCTTGTGTCACCGCTGACCCGCACAAGTCACCCACAACCGTTCGGGGATGCAGACGACGGCGCGGCGCTACAGGTCGCGGAGCGCCGAAAGCCTACCCCGAACTCACGCGCGGCGGGCCACAGCGCCTGGTCGTGCCGTGGACGCAGGTTGGCGGACGATGGAACGCGCAGGCGCGCGCCGCCGGCTGTTGGAGGCTGGTCCAGGCGATGGCAAGGCATCATCTCTTCCCGTTCATTTCTCAAGCAATGAGCCGCGCAATTAGTCGTCGCATGTGATTGTTTCACTGCCTGGCCTTCAATGGGCCGCCTTCGGGCATCTGGCTTGACTTTAAGTATAAGTGGAGGGCTGCCCATAAAACAGCCGCGCGAAAGGCAAGAGTTCCGGCGGTGAAGAACGATGCCCGCGAGATGGTATCGTGCACGCTGCGGCCGTCGACACGAGCGTGCAGTCCGGTTGTCGGACCCGTGGCTGCGAGACGGGCGCCCAGGTTTGCGCGAGCGCAGGCCACACGAAGCGGCGGAAAACGTCGCCCGTGGCTATCCCGCGGCGCGGGCCAAACGCGTTGCGGCATGCGCCAGCCCCATCCAGCGCGACAGTAGCGCACGACCCGGTGCCGATGTGAGGCCAGCGCTGGCGCTTCAGCAGGCCCGAGCGCGCAAGCTCCGCACCTACCCGGAGCTCCAGCCAGGAGGGCAGGGACGTTGCCGGTTGGTGGTCTTCTGGAGGTTGGCGGGCGACAGCCAAGCGTTGGCGCTGCTCGGAAGGCTCGCTCGCGCTCGCGCCCGGGACCGCGCCCCGTGGGCAAGTGTGGCCGCGGGGGCCGCGCTGACGCAGCGCTGGACAGCCCTCGCGTCGCTGGCCGCATTGCGGGCGCGCCGCGGGGTCACGGGCGAAGGCCGTTGAGGAAGTCCCCTGGTGCCGCGCTCAGCGATCGCCTAGGCAGTGCTGCAGCACGAGCCTTCCCAGCCAGTGCAAGTAAACGCACGTGCGCCTTCGCAACCGCGCTCCGCTCCACGCGTCAGGGAAGCGCTCCAGGCCTTTCGGGCATGCGTGCGGTTGCCGTTATTGCCGGCCTCAGCGCCCTGCGCAAGCCAAACGGCGGTTTGCATGGCATCGCCACGGGCGACACGTTCCGCCGCTTGGTCGACAAAGCGCTCGCTATAGGGTGTGGGCCGACAAGTTCGACCACGCGACCATTGCGCGCCGGAACTGACACCCTCGCAGCCCACGTTCGCGCCGAGCTGCACTGGTGTCGCTGGATGGCCGCAGCACGTACGACAGCATGTCACGGGCTTCCTCGGTCGGCCAACTACTCCGTGAGGTGGCGGCCGAGTTGCTCCCGTTTGTGCGCCTGTGTTATGGGGGCCCCTCCACATACTGTTGGCGGGACGTTGCCGACCGCTGCCGGGACGTCTGCCTCAACAAGGTGAAGGGTGTGAGCAGGGGGATGCCCTCGCTCCCGCCCCTTTTCGCGCTCGGACAGCACGACGTGTGGTGCACAGGGACCGCGGACTCGGCGACGCTGCCCCCGTCGGCCGTCGGCGTCTGCGGAGTACGCCCGTGGATGCGAGATGGGCAACGCTGCAAACAAATGGACCGAGGGGAAGGGGCAGGCGGCATGGTCACATGCTCAATAGTTGCTCCAAAGTGCTTGAAAATACTGCGAAAGCTCCGAAATGCTGCAAAATGCTCCAAAATGCGCCCAAAATACCACATGGGTCGACGGAGGGTCCAGAGGTGCGTGCGTCGCTGGCAGGCCTGATGTGTCGCAACCAAAAGGACGTGTTCCACCGCTGCGTACCACCGTTGCCCGTCCGCGTCCACGAGCCGAGTGTTTGCAGAGCAACGCAGTCGTGGAGAGGAAAATTCCGTGGCTGCGGCTGTGGTGTCCTGTGCGGGACGCTCGGCGTTGGCAGATGGCCCGTGCGCCCACATTAGGATAAGCACGAGTGCTTGGCGGGCCCAGCAACCCGTCGCCAGCAGAACAGTTCATGGGGAGGCGCCCGCACAAACCAAGGCGGCATGTGTTATTAGTGCCTCGCGGCACGCGCGGTTCACTGCCCGCGCTGCCCCTAGGCCTGTTGTGTATCGCCAGGCCCGACCCTACCACAGGCCTTATCGACAGGGTTTCCGGCGAGCATGTCGCTGCACAGTCAAGCAAAGGACAAGAGTCATTTCAATATGTATATAGGCAGGTAGCACGCCAACGGCCAGCGTTTCAACAAAGGCAAAATCAACAAGCAGTATTCGAACCCGACGTTGTCGCAACTAGGACTTTTCCCAATCGCTCCTTATGGCAGGGCAGGGGCCACTTCACCAAGGAGGGAGCGAAACTTTCATAGGTGATGATCGGCGTCAGAAGCGTTGGTACGATCCGAGCGGATGCGCTCGACACGTCGTCAAAAGTGGTCAAGAAGTCGTCAAACATGGGATGATGTCTGGTTTTGCAACAGCACTTGAGAAAATGATCTTGCATTGCTATCGGCAATGCATAGACCCAAGGCTGGACGAATCCCAACAAACAGAGTTACGTGTGTACAGTGATACTTCCACATGACGGGAAAGCTATCAAGTCAGAGGCATCAATAAGGTCGCACCTCGATTAAAGCACTGGGATGCCGAGAATGGTTGGGTCAAGGGAGGGTTGCAGTTCTTGGCAGGCTCCTCTTCAACATGTCGATCCATCACTTGCAATCAACACAAACCATCTTGCCCACCCCAACCCCCTCCAACGTAAGGATTGACCAGGCAAGCCGAAAAGAGCGGGGCAAGAGCAAATCAACCACCATGGTGGTCGATTGTCACAACGCTTCATGTGGGCACCAAGGCTCTGAGACTACCCGGCGACGGTCAGAAGCGCGGCACCCCGTTGGGACCGGACCCTGCAAGCTGTGACGTGGTGCTCAGGCCATCCACAGCGTTGCCGCAGCACTGCGCGCGCACTCTTCCAGGATGGGCCCAGTCGACATTGTCGAACGTTGAATGAAGACATCGAGGCCATCTATGAACCCTAAGAGAGGGTCGAGACTAGGTCTAGCGTGAGGCTGGCGCCCCCGCTGTAGCATGTTCTCGCCAAGGTGCCCAGTTCAGCGGCACCTCGTTCAGTGGCACTCCTGCAGTGGCTGCTCAACGGCTGCTACCAGCCGACGTGGCAGGAATCCGGCCAAGTTCCTAGAGTTCCTATACTGCAATTTTGCTGTCGAGCAACATGGTCACATCAAACAATCATGCTGCACCATTACGCACCATTCCGAATTCCTGCTACGATTGAAAACTAAATACACCACCAAACTCCCAAACCCGCAAGCCCTAAACTCTCAAACCCTCGACCGAGAGAGAGCCCAATACCCCTTAACTAAGGAATATACCCTAAAAAACTATAAAGAGATCCTTCAGATAATATTAAGGATAATATTAAGGATAATATTAAGGATAATTGGGCTCTTTGGGGCCCCCTTCAGCCAATGGCTCCTGCAGAAACTTCTCCCATTCGGAAGCTGACAGCTGATGGATGTCTGCAAATTCGGCCGCCGGCGCCTGCGGTGACAGCTAGGAACCCTAAACTTTACACCCTAAACCCTGAACCCTAAACCCTGAACCCTGAACCCTAAACCCTAAACCCCAAACCCCAAACCCTAAACCCTAACCCAAAGAGCCCTGTACCCCTGAACTAAGGAATAAGGACCCCTTGTATGATTTCAGGTCCATTCCTTAAGGGGTCTTGGATTCTCTGAAGGAAATAGTTGCAAGTTGTAACCCAAAGCACGGCACTGGGCTCAGGGTTGCCAGTAAGGCTCTGCCCTTGCGTGCCCCCCCCCCCCTTTTCCTGTGACTCGGCTTTTTCTGGAGATATGCTGGGAATTGGCGGCCACCCCGACCAGCGCCCTAAACCCTAAACCCTAAACCCTAAAGCCGAAACCCTAAACTCTAAACCCTAAACCCTAAACCCTAAACGGCCCTCTGAGGCGCCCCCGCCCTGAGACCTGCCGACACAACAATCACCTCGTGTCGCCCTTGAACCCTCTTCCTAGACAGGAGGAACTGTGATCTCGCTGTGTCTTTGACATCCAATCTCCATCTCATCCAAGCAGCGAGTCATCCTGGTATGCTGGATACACGCGAAACAGCTCCTGGACTTTGTTCTGGAATCCTTGCCGTGGCATGGGGGGCAGGGGTGGCTTCAACACATGCAGCAGAACACCACCAACAGGCCACGCTGAACATGTGCTCACGACAGAAAGACTGGGAGGAGGCCGAAACCTTAAACCCTAAACCCATTCCGTCCTTCTCGTGGGTCACACTTCCTGCCCACAATCTCATCACCAAACAAGTAGAACTGGCAGTCCTGGATCAGAGCAAAGGCGAACCAACTCAAACGAACGCTCAGTGCTACACATCACTTTATGAAAGAGGCCTCTGCTTGATTCTTCATACACATGCTGTACCTTCCCACATACCCGGAACCCTAAACCTTTAACACCCTTTAGAAAACCTTTCAAACACCTGTAGAAGCCTAAAACATCTTACCAAACCATGGTTTAAACACTAATAGGTCAAAAACTCTAACAAAACTTAGGACACCTCTGAAAACACCCTGACAAAAACTGACGGGTCGCCTCCGTCGAATCCAAGTCCGCACCTTGCACTTGCTCAAGCAGAGGGTGTTGAGAAGGCTTCTTGCTGACGGTCTTAAAGCTTATTTCGGGCTTGCAGGATTTTCGGGTTTTGGGGGCCGGGGGGGGGGGGGGTTTAGCTATTTCCTACTTCATGACTCATGGTGTACAGTCTATGTAGTCAGCTTTGGCGGCTGGCTCTATAGATTTTCGGGGCTTCCGCCTGCGGTTGAGGCTTGAGAAATTCAAGCCCATTGCGGGGTCAAGGGTCTTGTCAGCGTAGACTCTTGGGATTGAAGATTGTGTGTGATCTCAGGGCTATCAGACTGCCGGGGCCTCTGGCAGACTTCCTACTTGGAGGTTCATAGTTAATAAGTGAGTTGTAAGTACAGTTAGAATTAGTTAGTAAGTACCATGAACCTCCAAGTAGATCCTGCAAGGTGGCTTGGTGTCTTTGGAGAATCTTTCTTGATGCCAGCTTTAACCCCACACACACACACAAGATGCATCTTGTTCTTATCTGAGCTACTTGCCGTTCGGGCTTTAATGTGCCAAGCCTGTGCCTGGCGCGGTTTGCGGCTGGCTGCAGCTTGAAGTGCTCAGCCCCGCCAACATGGTGCTAGCAAAATGTCCCAATATTGCGTCAGGCCAGGGCTGAGTGCAATGGCAGCATGGTCTATCATCCTGTGAGGTGTTGGACTTAATGATGTGGTTTCTCGTGCGCCTTTCTGATGGATGGCGGCTAGCTACTTTCTGTCAGTGCTCTGAGCAACTCGGGCATGAAATGCGCAACTGCTTTCGTCGAAGCAAGCTGATCAAGAATCCTCCTTCGGCTGGGCGCACAACTGGGGGGCAGGAGGGCAGGGGAGGAGAGCGGGGGAGGAGGGGAGAGGTGGTGGTGGGGGAGAGGGGAATAAGAATAAGGAGTCAGACACTGGCACGGGAACCTGGTTCGCAAGAATCCTCGGACTGTTCAACCCTTGGGCCTGTCGACTCCTCAGACTGTAAGCAAGTTTGCTCTCGTTGTATATGGTCAGTTCTCTAAATGATGGTCCGTTTTGGGGTCCTGATAATAAGGTGGCCCCTGCTATTCTTAGGGCACCCAAAAGAGGATCATAATTTTGAGAACTGACCATATGGCTAATGCACTATTCGTAAGAAAATCCCCTGCTGGGCAGCATGGTTGAAGAAGCGAAGGTGCGCACAAGCAAGCGACCCACTTGGAAGTTCGCGGTACCTATTAACCAATGACAACTGTACTTATCACCCACTTATAAGCCCCTCAAGTGCCCTAATATGGTTGTAAGTACAGTTAGAAGTGCCGTTAGAATTGGCTAATAAGCACCATGAACCTCCAAGTACATTCTCAGGGAAAGGCGGGGAACTCGGGTAAGGTGGAAGCATCTCCCAGCCAAGCTTTCCAGAAATGCTCGAGAGTCATGCACGCAAAGGATCTTTTCGCCATCTTACAGCAGAACTTGTCTCAGGTGTGTGGGCTAGCTGTGTGTTTCTTCTTGCCTCTGCAATTGCAGCCGAAATGCATGAAAGTTCCAGATGACCAGTACTAGGTCTAGACTCAAACAGCAGCCATACGTCTGGTCGCCTACACTGCAAACAGCTCTCAGCACTCGTCTTTCATAGGAACTGCCGTAATGATGCTAACAAGACCTATATGAAAGGATGCATCTTCTGACCGAGACCCTAAACCCCAAACCCTAAACCCTTAACCCGTAAACCTGCATCTGGCCATCTGCCACTTCTGAGGTGCCATATTCTGTCACTGGCAAGATTTCGGCTCGAAACCCCTGTTTATATTACGCAGGGACGAGGAGGACGCGATCATTGGCGCACCGTGACGAAAAGGCAGGGCCAATTAGGACCACTTAAGGGGCTTCCTCCAAGTATGACCGGCTCCAAGCCTTGAGCAATGCTCTCTGCGCAACGCGGTGTGAACCGCAGCAAGAAACCTTTGGGAGCAGCCCTGTGATAAGGCTGTTTAGGGTTTAGGGCTTAGGGTTTAGGATTTCGGGCTTAGGGTTTAGGACGTCGGGTTCAGGGTCTAGGGTTTAGGGTGCTTCTGCTGCCTCACAACGTTTTGGCAGCTGCGGTCATCACACGAAGCATGACGCTTCACACACACAGCTGAGCAACTATCAGTTCCCAGCAAGCAAGGATGCATCTGGTGTTGGGGCAGGTGCTTCAATCCGGTCCGGTTTGGCGGGCGGCCATGGCTATGTGGCCGCACCCAGTGCACTGCCTCCATCCAAAACTCTTTGCAGGAACGCATGGCCCTTGGCTCAGGATGACCCTGTTCTCAACTCAAGGCCCCTCGTAAACCCTAACCCCACATCCACATCCTCCGACAGCACTTCTAACATTTCCACCTTCGTTGCGGGGCTATCTTGGTCATAGTTTCGGCTTCCTTTCTTCATGAAAATGAGCTCCCAGCCATGGATTCGGCATGCCCAGGATGCTCCCCCCCCCCCCCGTCGAGGTTTAGGGTTGAGTTGGCAGGTTTAAACAAGCGGGCATCCGCCTGATATCCCCCCACAACCTAAACCGCCAAAGCGAAACAAAACTTAGAATAAACGACCATCACAGAGAGGAGCTGGGGCTTAGGTTTTAAGTTTAGTTGCGGCAACGTTTCTTAGCGCGCCGTCGCGGGCCCTATCGATTGGCTTTCACGGGCCCACTCCCAGCGCGTGTCGCATGGCGGTGCACTCACCCGACACCAGCAAGGCGTACAGTACTTTGAGTCTCCGCGTGGGCCTGTCCACTGCAGCCGCGCGGCTGTTTTAAACACGTCCCTCGTTCAGACAGCAACGGTGGTTGTTGGTACGGGGGGTTGGCCGTCGCGAGTTGACCTCTGGGTCGGGAAAGGCCGGGAGAGCCGTCTCCCATTCAGGGGCCCGCAGCCAGAAAAACGGGCTGCCAAACCTGGCGCAAAGCCCTCCCTAGCTCCACTTCCGGGAGTCAAATCGGTTTTTCCGGGACGGGTGCAGAAGCACCGGCAACGTCTTAAAGTTCGTCTCGGTGGGACCGGCTGACAACCCTTTTGTGTGGAAGGGGCGCATCGGGGGTGGCTGCCCCGTGGGCCAAAATCAGTAGGCCGGCTCTGTCACGCCGGGATATGCCAAGTTTCTGGGTTGGACAGGCGGGATGAAAGCCAAAAAAACCCAGCGGAGCGCCTCTTTGCAAGGTGATCAGGTATAGTCTGCGTCCGGATCTTGCAGAAAAAGGGAAAGCTTGAGGTGGCGGAAGGGCTGGCCAGGGTGCACCAGCATCAGTTCCTCCCACACATAGGCCATAGGCAGCGTCGTGTTTGTATTTTCGTCACCGGAAAACGTGCGCAGGCGGCTAACCTTCCGGAAGGCCCGCTCTGTCCCAAGCAGTTGAGGAGGCCCCGGCAAAGACAACCCTTTGAAGGGACGCGGTTGTTAGCGGGCACAAGCCCTCCCTCCATGCTGGGAGGTGAGGGGGGGGGGGTTGGTGGTGTGGGGGGACCTGTACAGGCCTGGAAAAGGGGCTTCAAAAGGGGGCCAGAGGCCTGGGGGGGGGGGGGGGGGCGGGGGGGCGGCGAAGTGTTTGGGTTTCGGGTTTGAACCTTGGACACTCAAAGGCTCGCGCCCCTGATGCGCACGGCGGCTGCGCATCTTGCCAAAGCGAAGCGTTCAGCAGCCCCAGCTTTACCTGGGCTGGACGTGGCGTGTGGTTAGGTCGCTCGCTGAGCGCTCGGACGATTTCTCTCTCTCACGTGGTGGTAGCGAGCCCTCAGCCAGACTTTAGGGTTTAGGGTTTCGGGTTTAGGGTTCAGGCTTTAGGGTTTAGGGCCGTTTAGGGTTTAGGGGTACTTAGCTGGGAAGATGGAAAGCCCACGTCTAGACTCCTAGAAGCGCCTTGCCACTGCCGTCTCTGGCAGTGGCGACCTCTGAGGCAGGGCCATGCCACTCCCTGGCAAACTTGTGAAAGATGTGGGACGTCAAGGTGCTTCCAGCTCCTGTTTGCTGGAAAGCAACAGCCTGTTGTCCGCCTTTCATCTGCCTCGCCTGGCACATCATGAAGGGCACAGAAGAGCAGGCTCAGAGCCATGCTCCTAATCCTGGCTCCCTGGAAATTCGGAAAGTCTCAGTAACCCCCTCGAATCAAAAGCGCAACAGTTCGCGGAAACCCCGCTGCAGGACTTGGAAGAGCTTTGGCCAAAGGGGATGCGAATCCGTGAACCAACCCCAAAAACACCCGCCCTATGCTTCACCTGCCCCATCTGAAATCAGGCATTATACATTGCTCTACGGACCCACAAGCCTTAGCCTTGATACGAAATCCAGGTGTCGAGCAAACGTAAGGTGCGTTGCACGATTGACTGTCAAGGCAGCTGTTCCAAGACCACATCGGTGTCAGCGGGCAGCATGCCTGCCCAGACTCTTTCACGTCTTCGGATGGTCTCTTCGACCATGCCACCCCTCCACAAAAAGGGGTGCTGAAGCCGTGCACTTCAAAAAACAGTAGCATGAGATCTGCCCAGCTGCTCACAACATGGCCCGGATGTCAGTACAACTTTTCATCGAGGCGGCTCCTGTGCTGATGACGTACCACGTGCACACGATGACGGTGCCAAGCACAAGCCATGCTAATGAGCATCGACCACGTCAGCCTGATGCTGGCGACAGCCCACGCAGCGGAAAACCGCGCAGTGCCGAGTTGGAAGGCCGTTGACCACAAGCTTCTTGTGTTGCGACACACTTACACAGCACGAGATACAAGCTACATGATTCTACATGCATAAAGACTCTACAGACGATGCCAGTGCCACAGAACTGCTCCTGCACGCACCCCAAGCTCTCTGCAACAATTGCCACAGCTTCTACGACTAGTGTTCTCAATGCTTGCGGGATGTTCTATGTACGTTCTGTGGCTACTTGCGCGGCTAGCTGCTGTACAGCTCCGCCCTACTGTCTTATCCGCAAGACGCAGGAAGCAGCATATTGCAAAACTTGGTGGGCAAAAACAATCTTGAAACCTGTTGCCATCCAAATCGCACTTTGACATGAGAATACCTGCTTGGGTACTTGGGTCCCCGTGGCGGCGCTCCAAGATACCAGCTAGGCACCTCAAGGGTTGCTATACGCTTGATGCCTTCAACTAACTTGAGAACCTGCGGAGATCGACTTGGTCACCCCAACTTAAGCGGACAGAACCGAAACCGGAACACCTAGCGGACCTAGCGTCGACCTCATCAGTCATTCGCATGATATTACACTGGCACATTGCAGAAGCACTCGATTGCCCCCATTCCTACAATACCAGGCAACCATGATTGAGTGTAGAGTCCCCAACCCCAAAGCCCCCCCCTGGCACACAAGCGGTGCGCAGAGTAGTTGAAGGCCCGTGCCCGACACTACCCCCCACTCACTCCCCCATTCGAGTCTTACAAATCTCAGGCTGCCCTATCCCCTACACCCTAAACCCTAAACCCTCATGAGCTGCTTGGAGGTGCCCGCAGAGGACGTCTTGTAAACTCAGAAAACCGCGAACGCACCCCAACTACCTGAGTTTGGCAGGGACAGGGCGGGGCCTGGCTAAGGAGGACCGGCCGGGTATGCAGGGCATCGCTAGGCAATCCACCGGATGAACAAACGCTGCAGCCTGCAAAAAACACTAAGCTCTAAACCCACCTTGAAACAACATGCTTGCAACGCCCACACCAATTCCAGACCCTAAGCTGCCCCACTGTTGCCGAACAGGATGAATTGAATGTATACATATATACACATATATATATATACATGCATACATACACATATGTATGTGTACATATATATACAGATATATATATATATATATTCATTTCTATTTATACATGCATTTTCCTAATGCTAGCTCATAATATCAGTACTACACATAGTACTAAAAATAATCACGCTATCACTCATCGTATATGAAATGAAGTCCAAGTAGCCTGACATAATTTTAATACTATCCATTACCCTTCATGTGACTAAGTTTTCTGTAATTTTACTCATACGGTTAACATTAACCAGTTTAAGATGCAAGCATGGTGATGAATATTATGAAAAAGTATTCTCGAAGCATTCATACGACTAGAACTATTAATGGCACACTTCCGTATTGAAAATAATACTGAACATATTGAATATCAAGAAAATCAAAAGGATTTACAAAAACATTGCTGATAAAGTAACACACCAAAAAAGATATTTCAAATTCTGAAAGAATATGAATGAAAAACAAAAAGGGAGTCCAATGCTATGAACACAACGAGAAGAATTAGTCAGAAAATAATTGAATAATAGTAAAAACTCAGAATACTCACCATACGCACAATACTCAGAATGCTCATCATACTCACAATACTCATAATCCTCACAAAACTCAAAATACTCATAATACTCAGATTACTTCACGTCACATCACGCCATCACGCCGTCCCTTACAACATCCATCACGACATCCATGCATCAACGAATTCAACGATAGCGACAACATTCTCGAAAACCATCTTCGCTGAAAACCCTTCGCCACGCTTTCGTGAAAATACATGCTAGTACTCGTAATCATATTGCAGTTATATACTTTCCGAATTTAACAATGTATGTTGACAATACTTGAGGGCCACAGCCGAGGACAACGAAAGCTAGCCTGGATTGACAATATGGATTCGACACACCGCACACCCCCTCAAACACCACCACCACACCACCACCACCTCCACCACCACCACCACCACCACCACCACCACCACCACCACCACCACCACCACACTCCACTCCACACTCCGCCGCACACCCACACCGCCACACGTGGGCGCACCGAGAGCGCTCTCATATAGCGCAACGATTGCGCATCTATCGCCACCCACCTCCGCCCGTTTTCAAGGCCTGCATTCGAGCAATGGCAACCCCCCCCCCCCTGCCCCCTGCCCTTGATAGATTCGATGAATGACGACCCCCCCGTCCCCTAGATTCACAACCTTCCTCGACGTGACCCACTAAAATGCGACTCCAACGGAGTTAGTCCTGTTCCCTGCTGAGGCAGAGACTAACTGAAGCCTCGCTACGCTAGCTTTCGTGATTAAGAATCAGTCGAAGCAGCCTGTCACACACACACACACACAGATCTGCCCTACATGCACCTAAGCAAGTTGTATGCCGGGTCGCGAAGTTCCATGAACTCACGTAGGTCGGTTACTGCCTGCCGGGTGGTGAAAGGTTTCCGAGCCGTTGCGCGATGTGAGTTGAAGGCCTTGGGGGGCTTGAGCATCAAGCTCAAGCTGAGGCATTGCAGCAGTAGGTGCCCTAAACCCGAAACCCTAAACCCGAAACCCTAAACCCTAAACCCTAAATAAACCCTAAACCTGCGTCATCCGGAGCCGCTAGCCAGGTTGGGAGGGTTCGCGCGCCCGCCGTTTAAGAATGGGGGCTTCCGAAATTAGGGGGTAGCTTATTGGGGTCCTAGAAGGGAATCCTACTATTTTGTGGATCTAGATTGAGGGGGGGTCCCCTCTTTTCGTACCCATGTCTAGGCCAACTACATGCGCCCAGCTTGATGCGAAGATGTAGGGCTCCATGCCGCGGAGTCTCAACATCCGCTGCCTGCTCTGGTTCATGACAGGGCTCTGAACATGCCACCTTCGCAAGTCTTCTGTTTAGGGTTTAGGGTTTAGGGTTTAGGGTTTAGGGTTTAGGGTTTAGGGTTTAGGGTTTAGGGTTTAGGGTTTAGGGTTTAGGGTTTAGGTCGCAACGTCAAACCTTGTGTTTGGTAGCGTATGGGCAAGCCAAGCGCCGCTTGCCACGACAGGTGTTTTTCTCCACTCTGAAAAACGCCTCTAGCCGCGCATCATCCCTAAATCCATTGGGCAGTGCATGGCGAGGAGGTTCTTTGTCAATACGACGATGGAGCTGTACGACGATGGAGCTGACCTTTCGTCATCCATTCCGGAACGCCGGGCGTCCCCAGCCCCTCAAACCGCATCCAGATTCTGCAGAAATACGCCATGCGAAAAGAACTCACCTCAAGTGTGCTCCTGCACGAAGGCACTCTACACTCAGGAATTGGGCAAACGCTACCAAAGCATGTCAAGTTCGCGGAGTACGAATTCGACCTACCCCGAACTATCACTTGACCTCCATGCATAAACCTGCAAGTTCCAGGTTTCAGGAGGGACCGTGGTGAAGCCCTGAACTGTGTGTCTTCCGGCGTTCACCGGCTAGTTTGCCCAAGGCACCATACTGTAGCCACTGTTAAGGAGTTGCCGAGAGTTTTAAGAGTTCCTAAACCCTAAACCCTAAACCCTAAACCCTAAACCCTAAACCGTCTGAAGCCATTTTTACGTGCAAGGCACCCCCGCCTGTTCGATCGGAAGTGAATTCGTGCTGGTAACCCGAAAGCTCTGCGACCTCGGCACGGGCCAGTGTGAGGGTTTGGGGTTAAGAATTTAGGGTTAGGGTTTAGGGTGCAGGGTTCAGGGTGTAGGGTTTAGGGTTTACAGGGTTTACTAGCTACAGCTACGGGCTCTAACACACACCATCATAAAAACCACAAGATACCATGCTATACCATACTATACCATAAAATAAAATAAAAACACCATAAGATACCATAAAGTGTAATTACCATAAGTTACCGTAATTAGTCTACCATGACCTTCCATCACAAACAAAAATGGATGAAGACATCGGCCCTAAACTCTAAACCCTAAACCCTAAACCCTAACTTGAAAGGAGCTGCCAGAGTTTAGGGTTTAGGGCTTAGGGTTTAGGGTTTAGGGCTTAGGGCTTAGGGTTTAGCGCTTCTGTAGGCGCCCCGGCCGGCGCCGATCACAGAAAGAAGCGAACACTTCCGTCGGGTTGTACCTTCCCGCCAAACAGCAAGACACAGCTCCCGAAACCCTAAACCCTAAACCCTGAACCCTAAACCCTGAACCCTAAACCCTAGACCCTAGACCCTAAACCCTACCTCAGGGGCACCTTGTGGCGGGGTGGTAGTTTGAGATCAGATAAGCAGGTGTTTGAAAGGCTTTGGGGAGTTTTTGTTCGGGTTG